AGGGTTTAAACCGATAAGTAGCAGTGCAAATTAAACATTTTAATTGAAGCAGATTTTCCAGCGGTTTGTCAATTGAAACACCTCTGCGCTTGAAAGTGCCATATAACTCAGCTGGTGGTAGCGGGAAACGCAGCTTTAACTGCTATTTTCAGTTTTTTCAATTAAAGTTGTCCTAAGACTTTGATGTTGTAGCTGAACCAAGCACAATAGCTTTCAACTGGTCGCCCAACATGCAAGATAAAAATTAAAGTACAACCCAAAATTTTGCTGCCTCCTCCAAGATCTAAGACCGTTTAAAACAAGCATGGAATTTCAACGTATGACGTCCAGAGTCACATTGCAGTCTTAAAAAAGAATTAGATAACCGTACTGTTATCCGGAGCGATAATTTGTCTAATCCAACATGTAAACAGTGTGATTAAAAATGAATCAAATTTCTGGACTCTGGCCCCCTCTAAGCGACTAGCGACCCCATGTTATCCAATTATTAATGAGGATCTAATTGTTTATTGCTCTACGACGTTGAATTAAATTAAAGCACGTCATTCAATCACGCATTGTCAACGGGTGAGAATATTTTTATTTATTTTCTTCCTGATAATTATTTTATGGCATGGATGTCAAAACATTCCAACACCTAAGCGTAAATCTTTTTCTATGTATTGACGGGTAGGTGATTATAACGTATTTCAAAAGAATTTGAATTGAGGTAATCGGCACACGTGAGCACTGTATATTTGATAAAGCAAAAGCCTTGTGTAAGCTGACGATTTTGACGCAGGCATTATCAACATGCGAATACAATATGTGAATGTTTATAGGCTGCTTCCAAAATTATTTGGAAAAACTCATCGGGAAACTCATCGACTGCACATAACAGATATCAAATAACTCAATAAAAAAGCGAATAGTTAAATTGAGACTGTAGTGGAAATACGAAAAGTTGGCTATATTTGCAAGTTTCAAGAGTTCAAGGAAATTTATAAAAGAAATAACTTGTTTAAATGATTTAATATATATAGGTACAATATTCTATAAGAAAAAAGCTATTTTCGGAATTCTTAAAAATAAACTAACTATAGGGCTTTGAATATAGCTTTCAAAGTAAGGCTATTATTTCTATATTTGACTCTAATTTTCGTTAGTTCACTTCTTCTGTTCCGTAGACCGACGTACTGCCCAGCATTTTCCCGCGTTGATTATTCATTTCCACATGTTTGATTACGCTTTCGTTTTAATTCCTGAAGTCACTTATGGCATTGGACACTTGTTTATTAGTTCTGCGTATCTCTTCTTTCTTGTATTAGTTGTCTTGTTTGTATCAATTATATTCAAGAAAAACTAAAATTTATTTTTATACTTGCTTTGCGTTATACAGATCACCAAACGTTTTCAAATTTGTCACACGTCCTGGAAATGTTTACCCCTTAAGGACGGAAATATCCAATGGTGTGATGTAAAAAGCCATTAACTTGTCTATTATTCGATACACCTAATACCTGCAAAAACGAAGGGACATTCAGAAAATATGAACGAAAGAAAGAAGAAAACGGAAGATCTGAACTAATGAAAATCAGAAACAAACAGAAATATAAGAACGGGAATGAAATACTGAAAGTCGTTGAGGACTTTTATAAATCATTATGCAAGAAGCACAGAGCTCTACCACATTATGGTGTAGCAGCGACTCGGCGATTGTCAAACGAAACATTTCCAGAAAGAAGAATAGACGGGGTGGACTTGTGAAGTGAGCTCCTAGATCAACCGATTTTTATTCTTCAAATCTCCGGATTTATTGCTTTAGACTTTGATTGAAAGAGTACATATACAGGATGTCCCGTAAGCTCATGATTCCAAAAGGTACTGCGATATTATTTGGATCCAAAGAAGACGATCTGACCTAACTTTTATTAACAAAAAATATCTAGCTCCTCTGCTATTGATGGGGTCAAAGTTCTTCAAAGAATTGATATTTTTTGAAATATAGGGAGAATGGTACTATGTGTTTTGGTAAAACTCGCTGTAAATTTGTTCTTATGTAAGGCTCATATTTTGATGAAACAATCGAGTTCATCCGTTTTGGAGAAGTGGTGAATTCTTGCATATTGTGGTGCAAAAACTACCAGAACTTTTTAGTTGGAGGATGAAATCAACTCTTTTTTTCTTCTTGGTGCACTAACCATTTATGCACAATTATGTGCTCTTTGTAAAATCTTGTGGCATTCGTAGTTTTTGCGAAAAAAAATATATTTTTGTTTCCTTGCCACTTAACAATGTTAGACAATAACTGCAAATATCGTGATACGAGGCATAAATTGATTGTGAATCAATCTCACAAATTCGTTCCGAATGACCGTTTTCTAATGAAGAAGTGGTCAAAGTATTAGGGTTTTGCAAAGACAACTTGCGTGAAAGCGTACGCGTTTACGCGGCGCATATTTRCAGTTAATGTCTAACATTGTTAAGTGGCAAGAAAACAGATRTATTTTTGTTATGCAAAAACTGTGAGTGCTMCAARATTTTACAAAGAGCRCAAAATTGTGTACAAATTATTAGTGCATYAACAAAAAATTAGTTGATTTCATTCACYAAATAAAAWGTTYTGGTAGTTTTTGTACCACGACACTCAAGAATKCACYACTTGTCCAAAACRGCTGAACTCGACTGTTTCATCAAAATATGAGTCTTACATAAGAACAAATTCACAGCGAGTTTYACCAAAATACATCGTACCATTCTCCCGATATTTCAMGAAAGATCAATTTTTTKAAGAACTTTGACCATMWRTAGACAGAGGAGCCAGACATTTTTTGCTTATAAAAGTTAGGTCAGATCGTTTTCTTTTGATCCAAAGAATATCGCAGCACCCTTTTGATCATGAACTGACGGGACACCCTGTATATACTCTTTCAATCAACGATTTAGGGTTGTCTTAATACTTTCCACTRCTGTTGATAATSCTGAACAAMTAAACGAAAGAAAGACTAAAAAAGAATATTTGTAAAAGKGCATCTTAACTTCTACKATAGAATATTAATCAATGTATTATTTTTTGCAAAAATTTGCAAGAATCTAAATTAAACACARTTCTACAAACCCTACAAATTCACTGTTTTRATTGTTCATATTTCTTTGTTAATTTTATTTAACTAACATTCAAATCTGAACTTTTTCATTAGTATTTGAAATTATCACAGCATTTAGGTARGTACTTGCTGGTGCTTTTAGTGATAGTGCCACATTTTATATCATTCCGCGCTGATGATAGTTTCACTTAATCCAGAAATAATATAATAATAGCATCCTTATCTTTATTAAATATAATCTGCCAATTTATTCCCGATCATTAATATAATGTGGCTAAAGAATTTACGTCAACTGGCGATAAAGCTGAACAACAATTAGAACCTTGATCGGTTTGTGGAATGCAGTGTTTATTTTATCATAGACAAATGACAACATGTTCGATTAAGTGAAAGAAATAAATTGCATGAAGCAACAACAAAAATAACTAAAGGACACTAATTTAAGGAATGAACACATTCAGAAATGGATGCGTATAAACGTAGGAAATACTGGTAAGTTCGACAGTTGCTTAAAATTTGAACATACGAATTGTTTTACTCAGTTCTTTCATTATCAAAGATTGAAAATTTCTTTTTCATTCGTGAAAATGAATACTCACTTCGTTCACCTTCTGGATGTTTTCCCACATTGATTTTTCGGAAAAGCTTTTATACTGACAGTTTAATGATTTTTTCACATTGCCAGCATCGCAATGTTATTCGAAATATTTTCTGTAGACAAAATACGACTTCGTGTGCGATATCTACGTGATGTTGCAGATTCCGTGTAGGTATCCCGCGGCGCGTTTTGACATACCAATTGTGAAAAACAACTGTTTTTCTATCACGGAATTGATTTCTTAAGGTAAACGCATGCCTGTACATATTGTCGATTAATTATTACGGATTGTTAATGGTTGGAAATCAAAGATGGCACATACATCTGTGTTTGGTATCTGTGGGAAAGAAGTTGTCAAAGCAGATGTTCCTTCTTGCCATGTTTTACCTTTGAAGATCAAATATGGTTTTGAGACGCGCTTTTCTCACACAGTGTCTCGGTCTTTAGCTTAATAAAGATGTTGTTCGGTGACAGCTTTCCAAAAATACTTTGCAAAATTATGTCAATAGCAGAAACATTTCAAGGGAATAAAAAAATTGCACTCCAAACTAAACTCTTCTATTATAGTTGTAGGTAATAAGTTAGTTGAATTTCCAATACTTTGCAACTTTGATATCATTTTTGAAATTATTTTAAATGGTGTTGAAGTTAAAATTGATAGCCAAGATGGTTTCATTTTTTCCTACTTTCCTGCTTTCTCTATATTTTGAGATTGGTAAGATAAGTTTTAGAACACAAAACATCAATATTAGCCGCTCTAACGCATTAGAGTTGGATATATGTTGTACCATTTACTTACTGAACAAATTCATATCTAATACCACGCTGTGATATTTAAAATTATTTATTTGAAAATTGCGAGGCATGACTACACGCTGAATACTCTACCTAATTAAATCGTGGACTTCAGAAAACCTCCATTAGATCTGAAAGATGAAGTCGATATTCAGAAAGTACATTTATGTCGTATATTTTTTCATAATATTGAAGTTAATATCAGCTCTGAAACAAAACGGTTTCGCAAATTACGTGTTTCGTGAGTTTATTGATCTTGCCTTAAATAAGTATCATATACTTGACGTTTTATTGGCTATTGTAAGTGGACGATATAAAATAATAAAATTAGATGTTACTTATCCACAAACACTACCGCGAATTTGTCGCTGTTAGAGTAACTCATTCATGTTCATAATGTGTGTGGTTTCAAATCTGAATTAAATCATGTTCTTTGCAGACTGCAACTAAATTTTGAAACTAACAAGTTTTTGAAACGGTGTAAAATGTAGATATTTATTCCCGTAGATGTTTCTTACTGTTTTCAAAATAAATGAATAATAAATGATAGATTATATAGATTTTATGCTTGAAATGTTGCCCTTGATCTGCTGCATATTTTCCAGTTTCACTCATTCTTTTATCACTTTTTGATTTCGATACCATTTAGCTGAAGACGAGGCTGCTCAAGTGCTAAGAAGTGTGAAAGAAAAACAACTTAAACCATTTTGAATTGTGAAACCTAATTGTTTGGCAATTTACTATTAGTATAGTAAAGTTTTGATAGCCAATTTTTGGCTCTTTTAGCTAATCAGTACTGATTTCCATTCAAGTGATGAATGAATAATGATCGTCCCTTAAAATATGCATATGGTTTCGATTAATGATTCCGTATCGAGTAAGTGGACAAATTGATTTTCCGCATAAAAATTCAATAGCTTGGTTAACCGGCAGTCTACAAGAAATCACCTTTGCAAATAAGCATTTTCTAATCTTCAATTTGATTTACACAGTTTTCATACCAACTGAACATTATTCACGGGAATTTTCTAATTCAGCTGGATATTTACGACGTCTATAATTTGATCAATTGCCAGAAAATCTTTGGTATAAATCTTGGTTTAAATATGAGGTGTAAATGACAACCCGAGACATATTTATGCAATTAATAACTTGTTTTGCTCTTACAATTCCACGAAAAAAAATCGGTGGCAATTAAAAAGATCGCTTCGCAGGTTTAATGAATTGCCTGCTCATGTAATAGATAATCGCAAGTTGCTGTTCAATTGCTTTGATTGAATTGTAAATTGGAATGACGTAAGTCCAAAATTTCTAGGCGGAGGCTGAAATGTTGGCCAACTGATGTATTTGCGGACTTTAATATATTATTTTGACAATTCTTTGATTTTGTTGAATCCGGCTGTCATTTGTGCAGTTTCTTTTATAAATAGTTAAATGATTTGTTTGAGAATTACTCATCGTTCAGGAAGTAGAATGTTTGGGCGATATCGGAGAAAATAATCTTTCAGCGATTTGTTAAAGTCTACAAGATTTGTTGGGTTTTCACCTCAGTCAAATTCAAACAGTAGTTCAATAGTTAAGATTATTTTTTGAAATTTACTTTGTAGGAACTGCTTCCGAGTAATTGATTATGTGGGCAGTACCTGGCTCTAGAGAATAAGCTATAACATTTTCCAGTTCAGATCCGATCAGTTCAATAAAGCTTATAAAAAGAAAGTTCAGTCGCAGCTCGCTTAAATGTTTATTTCATTTCTACTATTATTTCAGCATGCATATTAAAGTCGACACATTTATGACAGTTTATGTGTTAAAATTATAACGACAACTGTTTCAATAACTGATAGAGCAACTATTTAATGTTGATTGGCAATCGTTTGCTGAAAGCATTGGCTATTTTCCAGTTAATGTATTTTTAGGTTTTCTTTTAACATTTTATGTAGTTCTCTACATATCATCGTTGTCAATTATCGGTAGGTTAACATTGAATTTAATTATTGAACAATTTTTTAAATTTCGACATTTTTGATGGTGTACCTATCTGCGTTAATATCACGATTTCTGTAACAAAGGAAAACTACTTTATTTGAAAGGTTTATTTTCGTGCAAGCAAGGTCGATGAGTAACGTAGAATGGAAATGTGTAGATTTGATTGATTGATTGACATTAAGAATTAAATCAGGAGTTTCTTATAATTTTTTTACCTGTCCTGGTCTGGCTCCCTACAATAAAGACTTGATAGGTTTTAATCGTTATTGTCAATTTCGATTCATTTACATAGTGCCATGCATAATGTTATTATTCTATTAATTTATCTGTATTGGTACATGTAATTGTAACTTCTAAAAAACACAACCGTGCTTTCATTTATCTAACCCGCTTTTGCTATTAAATAATAACAAAACCAATTTAATTTAGTCAAACAAATGACTAACATACATACAGAACATATGTTAAACCTAACAAATCAGACCGGTTGATTAATAGGCATTTTGTCAACAAGTGATTATTGTGTGTGTGGGATGCAAACGTTAGAACAATACCTGGTGATATGCATAGTGTACAAGAAAAATGATAATTGAGAATTGCGGCAGTTGTGAAAATTGTGAAAATATGGAACATTTAGTGGAGAACGAAATCGTTGAAGAAGAGGAGGATGATGATGAATCGGCCGATTTAGAGGTGGCAGCCGTTGAAGCTATCAATAATGGTAGGTTTTCATTCAGCGTATTTATTCCCTTTCGATTTCGATTTGAAATGGGACTGTAAAGCTCTCAATTATTTATTATTATTACATCAAAATTTCACTGTAAATAAACAAGTCCGGGAGCATTGATTATTCAGCAAATGCACTGGTACAGGTACAGATTCTTGACCAAGCAAATACATATGCGTTTTATTTGCGAGTTATTCATCCATTTGGTGGACTTAACGAGTTTTAAAATTAAAAGGAAGTTTTCGTTTTGAACTGCCCAACAAAATAAATGTTTTACAGCCAAATGTCCCTTAGCTTTGGAACTGGATAAATTCTGATTGCTGCGTGCGATGTGATTTCTGTTTGAAGTTGATTAGGCATTTATTTTGCTGTTAATTTAAGTTTTTGTAAAAATTAGGAACTTTAGGTAAAAATCTTACAGGGTGAAAAATAGAACAATGCAAATATCTGAAAGTTCGACATGCTACTAGTTGAATAATAGATCGTTTCCTTTGGAGATCAAGATCAAAGGTTTAAAAACAAAACTGATACCTCGAAACCATTTTTAATATTTTTTTTGCCTATACATATTTTCTATTTACAGGGTGATCTCAAAAATCAACTAGTAGGTCTTACAGTAATATTTTTTTCCTCTTGGACCGATTTTCAAAACACACATCGCGTGTTGAAGCTAAAACTTCACAGACAGGCGAGTTAAGCGAAAAATTCAGTAGAAAGGGTAGCGTTAAAAGTGCCCCAAATCAGAGCTGCCTCAGAAATGTCAAATGTTCAAAATGTCAAGTTAATTTTCACGTTCAACATGAACTCTACATTTTAAAAATCAGTTCAAGAAAATTTAATGTTTTCACTGCAAAACCAGAAAGTTGATTTTTTAAACCACCGTGAAAATACACAAAAAAATTAAAAACTGTTTTGTCATATCGGTTTCGTATTCATGCCTTTTGGAGTGAAATGTAACTGAAATAAAACTTTTAGAAGATTTGCATTGTTTTCTTTTCTACCCTGTAGGATCTTTACCTCAAGTACCACATTTTTTACAAAGAGCACCGACTTTTTACGAAAAATAGACAATGAATCGAACTAGCGGATTTAGGAGCTATGCGGTTTCAAAGTTATGTCAAATTTGGTAATGTAACGTTTATTTGGTTGAGCATTTACTTCGTTATTGAATTATTACTATACATTAACAGACCAATTCGTTTAGATATTTTTCCTATTTGAGAAATGAGACTGAAGTTTAAATGTCCTATTGTTTGAGAAAGATCTTTAGCATATTTTTGTAATAACGCAAGTAGGCGAAATCGACAAAACTATATACTGAAAATTCAACGTATTGAAAATTGGTCGAAAAACTTTGTTCACATTCGATCAAATTCTCCTAAATACTGCTAGTTGCTTACAACTAATTTTCGGTGAAGTTTGCTGTACTGGTTGTTAAATTGCCCTACTCAATGTTGAAGCTCATGGATTTATGGAAGAAGCTTTTACAAATACTATCAGCAAGTTGTAAGCACAGTTGCTGTTATCCCGGAGTATTTTCTAAGCTATTGAATAAGAACTCACAAAATAATTATAAAGTAAACTTCAGTAGCGAAGTAGAGCAAAAGAACGTGTAGTGAATATTTCGATTGTTTATAGTCGTTGTTGTCTCTATCGAAAACTGTGAACAACTTAATATTGCACTTTTATACTGTCTACATTCATATTTTGAAGAAAGAGCCCCAGATCACAAGAAGAAACCAGAATATATCTTGAAAAGAAAGAGCAGCAACACACTTTTAATATTAGGAACATAACAGAAAGGAAAACATTTAAATGAAGCTTTCAAAACCGAATAAAACCTGCAACAATCATAGAACGCAATTTTGATAAAAAGCAGTTTTAGGAAGTACTATTGAAGGGCTTAGAAATTACTGACAATTTACGTAAACGTTTGCTGCTTATTCTAGTTCAAAATAACTAGTTCGAAATGTGTACAAGTATATATAAAAACTAGCTGACCCGGCAAACGTTGAATTGCCATATAAATTATTCCTAAGGTTTTTTTTCATCTCGAGTGGGCGGTTTGCCCACTTGAGATTTTTTT